TCCCCAGTTTACTGTCTTGGGCAAGCAAAAAGCACTCGAACAGATGCAGTATACATGGAGTTTGCACGAAGCACTTCAAACAAAAAACCCCAATAGTCGAACAATGATTCAACACTAGTCGTCCCCAGACTATATTTGGAGTATTTTTGAATATTCCTCCTGTAGAGGGACAGGCCCAGCTTGGAGCTGCGGCCGATCGGTGGTCGATGCGTCTCCCCTGAGCGATGATCCTCGGAACGCGTGCTGGCGCCAACGTGTGCTTGCCCATCGAGGCCCTCAGATACGACGCAGGCGATGTAATGTTCCACCGGCTGGGCTAAGCGGGATAACGCACACACGTTGGGCCAGCACGCGTCCTGAGGATCATCGACCCGAGCCTGTCCCCCCCCTGACGTGTCGTTGCCCCTGAGATTCCAGGACTCCAGCGTCGTCTGGCTCAGCTCGGCCAAGCTGCTGCGGGTCGGGCCGAAGGTGGCCTGGACGAGGAACTGGGCATCGCTCTCGGAGGTCCGGGATTTGTTGGAGCTGGTGTCCATCAACAGTGCACGTGGAGCTGACAATGTCTTTGAAGTTGGAGAATGTGTTAGCGGCCCTGCCGCAGGGCGAGGCACCTGCAGAATGACAACAACTAACTTTGAGCGCACGACCGATCGATCACAAGACCACCCTGAGCTCAGGACCGCTGCAAACGCCCTCCTTGCTTGGCCATCGGGTGGCCGTTAATGGGAGAGCGGACGTGGATTGAAGCAGCGTGCACATTCCTGGCACCTTTTGGGCGAACGGTGGCAGTTCATGGCGCCACTTGATTAGGTCCCCCTCCAGGGCCACAGTCATGCGGCCCTCCATTTCCAAATGGATTTTGATGGCACGGACTTGCAAATTGAAGTGATTGTGTAGTTTCCCAGACTGTTTTTAATCCAAACGCCTGTTGCCCCCTCCCCCCCCGGGTTGCAGTCCTCCCGATACAGTGGGGGCTTGGCCACAAGAAACCTCCGCAAGAAACCTAACCCTGAAATACGCGATTTGTTCAGTGAAAATCCACATGTGTCGATCGAAGATCGTCAAGATCTGATTGGGAGCCCATCAAAATCCAAGAAACCCAGGGCACCCTGGCAAAATCCAACTGGTTTCTTGGCACGCGCCCCCACTGTATGCGCACCGATCTTCACGGGCCCTGAGTGGGCCCGGCCAAGACCGACGCGTGCGCAGGCCGCTGCTTCCCGCCGTGTCTCTGCGTGGCCTGTTGGTGTCTGTGAAGGGGCCCTGGGACACACAAATAAATACACACAAATAAAATTGTTCCCCATATCTTCCCATATTTTCTGGGCTTTTGTCTTCCCCCCCACTTCCCATATTTTCCCATAGTTTCTGGGGAATCGACGATTAATTGTGTCTGTGTGTTTCTTCCCCTCCTGAGTGTGATGCTGGGAACGCCTCGCAGCCCTGAGCTCGGGTCGGGCATGCCCCCCTACAGGTGGAGGTTGAACGAACAAAAGAGCAAATACTCACACCAGACTCGGAAACAGTCACAACATAGCATAGGCGAAGCATCGTCTCCAGAGTATTGTTTGACCATGCTTGAACCGTTCCTCCAGTAGAGGGACACGCCCGACTTCGGAGTCCCGAGACGGTGCGGTGACAGACCGTGCGGTGACCTCGAAATCCCCCAAGACCTCACCGCACGGTCCGTCAACGCACGGTTTGGGGACCTCGGAGGCCCCAGTCGCCCGATACATCCCTGGAGAACGACCCGAGTCCCAAAACCGTGCGGTGACCCCGAATTCCCACCGACTCACCGCACGGTGTGGTCACCACCCCGTTTGGGGGCCCCCGCCCGACGCAACCCTGAGCGATCCCCGCCGGCCCGCAGCGGAGGCGTGAAGGCCGCCGGCGGCCACCGCCTCAGCCCGGAACGACCCCGCGCAGGCGACGCCGCCGCATCGACGCGGCGCGGCCCAGAACGCGGAGGGCGGGGAGCGTTAGGGAGCGCTGGGTTTCCCGACGTTTGAAGGGGCCCCAGGACACACACATAAATACACACAAATAAAAAACGATCCTCCATATCTTCCCATATTTTCTGGGTTTCTGTCTTCCCCCCCACTTCCCATATGTTCCCATATTTTCTAGGGAACCGACGATGAATTGTGTCTGTGTGTTTTTTCCCTCCTGAACGTTGCTAGGGGAACAAAGGATGGCATAACCATACAGACTCGGAGGTCCACGCGGAAATGTCGGATCGGCGCCGGACCCCCTCCCTGGCGCGCGGAGCGCGCCAGGGGGCGGCGCCGGAGGCGCCGTCGGGGGGGCCCAAGGCGGATCCGAGAAATCCGCGCGGACCTCCGAGTTTGTATGTTTGTGCCATTCTTCGTTCCCTCAACGTTAGGGAGCGTTCGGATTTCCGACGCTGTCGTCGGGTCTCGGCGACGTCCCAACCTCCACATACCTTCCAGCAACTGCGCTTCGCCGAGAGCGTTCCGAGGCTGCCCGGATCGTCCCGAACGGCTGCCTGAGGCCCTCCTTACTACGACTAGAAGACTACAATGACCGTGGACGGCTCGGTTGGGTAACGTTGAACTGGAATCGGCCATACATCGCCCATGGATAGGCGGCAGGTCCTCGGCAGCGAATCCGGGCGCTCCTGGGCGGCATGGGCTTTCGGCCCCCTCTCGGCGATCAGTGGGCGATCGGTGGTCGATGCATCTGCCCGAGCCTGTCCCCCGCCAGCGTGGCCCCTGACCCGACGGCGTCCGGAGGCCCCCCGGTCTCCTCCTTCTCCTCCTCCTCCTCCTCCTCCTCCTCCTCCTCCTCCTCCTCCTCCTCCTCCTCCTCTGGAGGAGACATCGCGGCCGGCGGGCGGTTTGTTTTCTCGGCCTCAGCCTTGGGGGACCCTCGCCCCGGGCTCCGGGGCCGTCGACGAAAAGAGCCCTGGACGAGAAGCCGGCACTGGTGCAAGGGTCGGGATTTCCAGGGATAGAAGGGAAGGATGAGGAGGACGAGGAGGAGGAGGAGGAGGAGGAGGGGAAAGAGGAGGAGGAGGAGGAGGAGGAGGAGGAGAGGAGGAGGAGGAGGAGGAGGAGGAGGAGGAGGGGGGGGCAGGGAGGAGGAGGGGGGGGGGGGGGGGCAGGGGAGGAGGAGGAGGGGGGAGACAGGGGGGATGAGGAGGAGGAGGAGGGGAGGAGGAGGAGGAGGAGGAGGAGGAGGAGGAGGAAGAAGGAGAGGAGGAGGAGGAAGAGGAGGAGGAGAAGGAGGAGGAGGGGGGGCGGAGGGGAGGGGACGAGAGGAGGAGGAGGGGGGCAGGGGGAGGAGGAGGAGGAGGAGGAGGAGGAGGAGGAGGAGGCGGAGGAGGAGGAGGCCGTTGCCCGACTCGGGGGCGTGGCCACCCCGCCCGGCCGCGGCGACTCCGGGGCGGGGGGCCGCGCAGCGGGCGAGAGGCGGGGCGCGCCAGCCTCCACAAGGAAGGCGCGCCGCGGCACGCGCCTCCTCCTCGTCCTCCCCCTCCATCCCTGGAAATCCCGACCCTTGGCACCAGTGCCGGCTTCTCGTCCAGGGCCCTTTTCGTCGACGGCCCCGGAGCCCGGGGCGAGGGTCTCCCAAGGCTGAAGCCGAGAAAACACACCGCCCGCCGGCCACAAGGAAGGCGCGCCGCGGCACGCAGGGCCAGGTCCCAATACGCTCAGCCGGCACGCTTGATCCGTCAATAGCATGGGACGCACAGAGACATACTAATACTATACGTCCTCCTTGGAGGCGCGCGTCCGACCCAGGCATATAGTATACCCATCTTGTAGTATATCGTTTCCCGAGCGGTGTGGCCAGAAAGCGCACGCCGCGACGCATATACTATAAGATTTCTCGGTGCGCGCGTCGCCCCTGGGGGGGCGACGCACATACAGTATAAGTATGTTGGGGTGATGCCGATAGCAATCCTTACGACACCCATTCGCGACGAGTTCGGACCTGAGGTCTGCTCATGCCAACGATGGGGCTGCCAAGGTTTGCTCCTACGCCACGAGCATCATCTCCGCCTCCGTCGCCCCAGGAGCACAGATCGCTTTCGCTGCCCCTCAGCGAGCTGAAAGCCATGGCCGGGCACCGGGGGAGCGGCGTCCAAGCCGACCCTCACGAGAAGGCCTCCGGCAGCCCGCCGGGGCGCCTCCGAGCGAGCTCTGCTGGGATGGGCTCTCTGGCCATCGCTCGGAGGTCCATTCCCTGTGCCTTTTTGGGGGGGGTTCGTGCGTGGCTGGTTCGCCAGAAGATCAAGGATGCTCCTCGATGCTTCTCGCCGAAGGAAAAATGCACACGTCCGAGCGATGCCAAGGTGCTACGCCGCCGGGAAAGGGCACGGGCGTCTGGGCGCGCGAGGTGGCCGGAGCAGCAGCAGCAGCAGCCGATTCAGGCCAGCTGCTGCCGCAGCAAAGGGCCCGGGTCAAACAAAATACATTGCCATTCAGGTCCCACCCGCTTCGTCCCCAGACCCCCTCGAGTCATGAGAAAATCACGACGGTAGGTTTTTCATTATTATTTTTGGGCCCTGGGGGCCCTTACCGGCCCTCGGGACCATCAAAAAACGGCTCAGGACGAAAAACCGGTCCTGGGGAATGGGTCCAGACCTCTGGGGGTCGACGTCATGAACAAATCATGACGTCGGGGGTCTGGGTCACATGCCTGTCTGCCCAGTATCTGGAACGATACGATACGATACGACTACGGCCGCGACGACGCCTACGGTGACGGCGATCTCGGTTTCCTTCGCCTCCCATCGATCAGCCCCGCGGCCGCCATCGGCAACGTCGGGGACCAGGAGGATCACGCCGAGGACCGACAGGAATATTCTCGCAGCGTGCATACATCCCCGAGGAGGAGGAGGAGGAGTAGGAGGAGGAGGACGAGGAAGGAGGAGGAGGAGGGAGGAGAGGAGGAGGGGAAGGAGGAAGGAGAGGCAGCAGGAGGAGCAGACGCCCCGGGGCGCCGGCCACACGCCGATGGCCGCGGACGGGAACGGCAGCCCTGCGGCCGACAGCGCCAGCAGCGCGGCGGCAGGGCGCGGCTGCATGGCGCGGCGGCCGCGCCGCCTCGGGGGCGGGTCGCTCATGGAGGGGGCGTGCGGGCGTCGCGGGTCGCGGCGCTCGAGGCGGCGGCGGCGGGGCGGGGGGGGGGCGCGGGAGGGGGAGCGGGTGAGGAGGGGGAGGGGGGGGGAGGAAATGGGGAGCGGAGCAGAGGAGGAGGGGGAGGAGGAGGAGGAGGAGGAGGAGGAGGAGGAGGAAGGAGACGGGGGGGGAGGAGGGCCAAGGGGAGGAAAAGTGGGGAGGGGCAGGAAAAGAGGGAGGATGAGGAGGAGCAAGACCAGCGCAACCCTGAGACGCATCGGAGAGTGTCGCAGTGAATCCTCCCTCCAGATTCCACCTTCATAGGGCCCTACAAGCATTAATCTGCATTGCGGGACATGCCCTCTTCAATGACAGCCGTATGAAACATCTCGATATTGCCAAATCACAATTCCTGGGGTTTCACCGCCGCGGCTTACTATGACTGGTGCGTCTTGACAACCCTATTTCGCGCCAGAAGAAAAAGACATACCCGGGACTTAAACACCGCGGATCAACGTGACTGCTGTGTCCTGACAAATCCAAAATCATGTCAGGCCACCATTCCAAGGAATTCAACCGCGCGAATCCTTGAAACAGCCGAATACGTTTGAAACGACTGCGCGCGACGGTTATGCGATAACCACATGTGGAGAAACAGCCGCCATCCACCATTGAAACAATCGCAAACGTTTAGGACGAATGTGCGCGGCTCTATGGCGAAAAACAAATTCTGAAAACTGCCAGCCTTCCATCTGGCCGCCAACATTTTGAAAATAATGCGCGCGGCGCAGAAGAAACAACCATATGTTGAACACGACCCGCCCTCCATCCATGAACGTGTTGCAACATTTTGAAACGAATGCGTGCGGCGCTAAGGTGAAAACCACATATTGAAAACCACCCGCCCTCCAACCGTGAAAAGGTTGCAAGCTGCAATTAAGTTTCAATCTCATAAACGGTGAAAGACCCCAATCGAAACGCCCAGCCTGTCGTACCGTCACGACTGCAACTGTGACAAAAAGAAACTGTTTATAAGGGAAGAGGGATGGGGAAGGAGGGGCTACCAAACCCAACATGCACCAACGATGCTGCAATAAACCATCCCGTGGCGCGGGTAAATTGATCACTGCCCCCCATTCGTATACACCCCCCCCACATGACCGGCGGCAGACCGGAGCCAACGACGACACCACCACCACCCACCATCCCTGTCAAGAAACGATGCCAAATACACTTTGCGGCAAAATCGTGGACCAAGGCGGGATGGCGGGGGTGCTTGCATATTGTCCGATGTGCGCGGGCCAACAACCACCCCTGCCAAGAAACACCACCAAACACACCCTTTGTGGCAACATCTGTGCGAACATGCGCGGGCCCCCCACGATCACTTTGCATGTATTCAAGAGGTACGGTTGACCGTAGCCTTCGGAATCGATTCCCCTCCGTTCCTGGTCCCCGTCGTCACGGGGCTTTCCATCCATGTCAAAAACACATAAAAGAGATAATGTGTACACGCGCGCGCAGTTTTAGGTCGGCGGCGCAGAGGACTTTTCAAGCGCGAATAACACACGGAAGTGCGAATTGCGAGCGAACATCAGCGATGGCACAGTGCAGGGTGGGTGGTATGACGAAGGGACCTGTGCGAACGCGCAGCGGCCAGACAACCGCTGAGGCAACTCAATTCGAAAAAAGGTGGCGCGCGAGCAATATGGTGCGAATTGGTGGCCACTGAACCACCGAATAACGATGTTATGAGCATCGTTTAACCGATCCCCATCCCCAGCGGCGTAACTTGGGCCCCGCTGGCCGATCTACCCCCCTGGATGGGGATGTGGGCCGCTCCCTTCGGGATTCGAGGGGTGCATCCCCAGCTGGGGAGGTAATTTGGTGGGGGTCTCGAAGGGGATGGAGATGGGGATGGGGATCGGATAAACGATACCGATGTTAGACAATGAAGCGCGAGGGACAAGGAATCATGGCTTGCAGACCAGCCAGTGTTTTGGCATGGAACGCTGACCCAGCACGGTCCGGCAACACACTGGTAGAATGCAGGCCGACAAAACCAACCTTGCGGGAGCCGTGACAGCGGGCGGAATGTGGGCCAACTTGCAGCGACACCACGACAGCGTGAAAACCGGAACGAAAACGCGTGGAAATACGACGCGCCCGCGCCCCTCCTAAAGGTATAAGCGCGCAGGCTGGACAACATGCGCAACAGACTGAAGGTCCAAGTCTGCTGGCACGCCGCAGGACTGACCTGTCAGACGAACTGCGAAGTGACCAACAATCTGTCCACCGTGCAGTTGTAGAAGCACGACCGGCGCGGCATCAGCCACCCAGCCAACGCCCGCCGGCATTGACAAGCGAATGGAAGCCGACCCGTGCATGGGTCAGGCGCGTGCAATGCCGCACGCACCAAACGCAAACCAAGCAAGAGCTGCGCGAAAGGTCCGCCATGATTGCAATATGCCCCTGTACTCGCACGTGTGAGCGGAGGTCGACCACCCAACCACCGCCGTCACCGCAGACAAACATGGGGGAGGGCGGAGAAAGCGAATCGCGAGGACACGCGCGGTCGTGCCAAAACAGCACGAGAGAAATCGGTCGGACAGCAGGCCGAAGACACCTCATGGCCGGTCAAACGCCGACCCCCCCCGCAGCTGAGCGCAAGAGTTGCGCAGCTGCGCGGCGACAGCACGGCGGCACATGTTTTTTTAAGCCTGCGGCGCAGAAGATATCCAAGAGCGGACGGCAGATGAAACGGAGAATGGCAACGAGCGTTGTCGAAGGCAGAGTGCACAAAGCGTGCACACTGTCAAATGTGCCGATGGGTGGTGTGAAACAAAAAACTGCAATCCCAGGTGAAACCGAAGGCACGACGGTATACACACACACACACACACACTGGGCGCCAGGCTGACCACCCCGCAGTCATCTCGCCAAGGACATTGGCTAGGATGATGGGGTGTCGTCAAGAAATCTATGCGTGTTGTGACGTATACCAATCGGACGTGGGCCAGCAACACGAGACACCCTCCGCCGGCCAAAGCGCGCAGAACACCCGAGGGTGCTCTCGGCCAAGATGCGCAAACAAAAAAAAAACATGCAGCAGGCACGAAGAGCATGAGGACACCCTCCGGGCGCCGCGGGGGAGGGAGCAGGGCTGTGTTTGAGCCAGGCGCGCGCGGCGGTCGTCGTCGTCGTCGTCGTCTTCGTCGTCGTCGTCTTCGTCGCTACCGTAGTCAATGTCGTCGCCGTTGTTGTCGTCGTCGTCAACCCACCTCGGTCTGACACCTCGGTCCGGCTGTGCTGGTGCACCTGCAGCGCCTGGGCCCCTGGGGCGCCTATGGAGCACCTGCAGCGCGCGCGGCGCAGCTGGCCCGAGGCGCACCTCGCCGAGGTCCCGCGCGAGCGTGGCGCACCCGGCGGCTGCTGCGGCTCCCCGCGGCGGTCCATCCAGTGCCGACCCTCGAGATTTTTTCTCGCGATTGGGCTCCTCGCGTTGTGGCTCCTCGCGTCCTGGCTCCTCGTGCGTTGGCTCCTCGTGTCTTGGCTCATCGTGTTTTGGCTCCTTGTGTCTTGACTCCTCGCGATTTGGCTCCTCGTGTTTTGGCTCATCGCGTCTTGGTTCCTCGTATTTGGGTTCCTCGTGTTTGGGTTCCTCGTGTTTGGGTTCCTCGTGTGTTGGCGCCTCGTGTGTTGAGTTCCTCGTGGGTGAGTGCCGCTTGTGTGCGGGGAGGGCGGGGGAGAGTGATCCAGACGGCTTGCAGGGGCGGGGGGGATAGCTCGACCCCTCCCCCTTAATCCCTCCCTGGGGCGGCGGGTCGCTGGAGCGTCGAGGTGGCCCAAGATGGTTCCAGGATGGCACTCGATAGACCCAGCGGAGGACGAAGAGGAGGAGGAGGAGGAGAAGTCTTCAGGATTGCATAAGGTAGCTCAAGTTGACACAACATGGTTTTCAAGAGGTCCCAAGGCCGCTCCAAAACGGCTCCGAATGGCCACGGGGCCTCCCGAAGACGCCTGGAAGAGGTCAACATCCGCCAACGACTTTGGGAACAACCGTGTGGTGTGCCTTGTCGGCGTTTCGCTTCCGATGGGTTCTTGAAGCCTCGGGGTGGGCCCAAAAAGGCCCAAGAGAGCCCCACGAAGGGCCCAATACGGCCCCAAGAGCGCGGGGGAACGCCCGAAGAGGACCAACAAACGCGATGTCCGAGTGTCCGAAGGGGCAAAGCCGACTGACACTGTCCCTTCCCTGTTCGATGATATGCGACATGGCCACAATCGAGTCCCGAAACGCCTCCCGCATTGCCCCAAGAGGGCCCCAAACCGGCCCAGCTAAGTGCAAAGAGGACGTCAGGGTCGAATTCACAATATACAACGGCTGATCCCAAACTTCGGCTTGAGGGCTGCACCCCTCTTTGTTCCCTACCTAGGCTCTGCCTAGAAGGGTTCTCACTCGGTATGCTTAAAGGACCGGGCAGTGCAACTCGCCCCGGGCGGTTCCCCCAGTATCCGCCCCGCGGTTCCCCCAGTTACGTCCCCTTAGCTTAGCGTTGCGTATCTGATCTTAGCTTAGCTTATTTCATCTTAGCTTTGCTTAGCTTAGCTTTATCTTATCTCAGACTTATTAGTTAGCTTACCTTCATCATAGCTTCGCTGAGCTTTAGCATAGCAGAGCAGAGCAACACATAACATAGCGTAGCATAGCGCAGCATCGCATATCATAGCATGGGTGTAATTCCCTACCTAGGCTCTGCTTAGAGGGTTAGCTTAGCTTAGCTGAGCTTACCTTAGCATAGCGCAGCGCTGCATTAGCATAACATAGCATAGCATAACATAGCCAATATTCGGTTTAGATGTTGATGTAGCTTTCGGTTGATATATATATATATATATGTTGCTTTCCTAGATCCTCCAACTCCTAGGTAGGGTCGCACTGGGAAAATTTCACTGGTTGCTACTACGCTTCCCCGACCAAAGATCTCGCCAACAAGTCGTTTC